ATGATTCAAGAGAATCATTCGATACATTTTTCGCAGGAAAAAAGAAATAGAAAGAGATCTTATTAACTGGCATTAAATTATCGCTTTTTGAAAGCATTTCAATTTGCACAATATAATAATAATAATAATAATAATAATAATAATAATAATAATAATAATAATATGTAATATTAATATTTGACAAGATACACAATGATTATATTTTAACAAATAATAAATTTTGCCATTTATTGAAAAAGATAATGATTAATTAAAAAATGGAAAAAATTAAATAATCAGATGTTGAATATTTTAGAATATTAAAATATTAAGCATACGAAATTGTTTTGCATTTATAATAATTATTATTATAATTGAAGGAGATATCTCTGTAATTTTTAATATGTATGTATAAGGATAATTTTTATTTTCTAAACAAGTTTCTATACAAATGAAGACGTATGAATGTTACATCTGTGCTTATTTGATTTCATCGAGTCGCAATAAGATAGCCGTGGCATCGGGAAATAGCTGTTAACGTTCCCGATGGGGATGATGAAGCGCACGTTTATAATTCCCGAGAACACATTACATCGACGAATGACACCTGTCTCTTTATAATCCCGTTGCTCATCGATCAGCTCATCGATGCTGAGCCCCACAACGATAAGCAATGGAATACGCCGGGCAGCGAAACGTGCCCGAGAGTGACATTGCAGGATAGTTATCTGGAGTACTCGGAACAGCTTGAATATTCATTATTCGCGTTTCTCTCGCTCGATGCTCATCGATCACTCGAACGGTGTCGCAAGCCGAAGGCAACATAAATAATCGAGACAAAACGTGGCCGGCGGTAAGGAATGCCGTGGTCCATATCTCCTCTCTCGCACAAACAATACACGTGTGCAACAATAGCGGTTAATTACGAGGAGAAACGTGATCGTGCGTATTTCTTTATCAACGTCTTAATAAAGTAGTTTTTTTTTTTATCAACGATGTATTTTAAATTTATAATCCCCCTCCGTCGATTTAAAGACAAGCTGGTCGTCGAGATCCGCATCTCGTGTGCCGCGTCAGCGAGATAAACGATTCTGAATATCGAAATTGCGAAGTGACACGAAGGGACGTTGATATCGCGCGTACGTCGTCGGCAAATTTTTTCCGACGACTTTAAATAGATAAATCGCGTTTTAAGTGTTATGATCGTCGCGTCAATGGACTTAAATCGATGACACGATCGGGCACATCGTATCGGCCGCATCGTCGAGAAATCCTCCACGCGAGGTGCACACGAGTTGGACCGTATGTTCGTGATGATACGGAGGAGGAGAGAGAGAGAGAAAGAGCAGGAGAGGCACGCACACTGGTATCTCGGACAGGTTTACGAGATTTTTTAGCCTGGGGCTCGCATCTGGGCAACCCGATCGCGACTCGCGAGGTAGAACATCGAATTATTGCATTCGGATTAAATAGTAACTGGAGATTACACGTATGCATATGTGTATTAACGTTTTACATAATGAAACGTTGCGCCTGTTGAAGGGATTTTATTTAGAAGCTTATCGGAGCCCGAGAGTGATATGATTATAAATGTTGGAGTAAATGGTTATTATTGTCATAATAAGTTGAGATATATTATTGATATAGATATTAGTTTTAGTGTTATATTAATGATGCGTTATATTTTTGATTATATACCGAGTTGAGAGGATTTAATTATTATTATCCGTAATTATATAAATTGTTTGAAGCTGGACCGGGAAAATATTTATCCCTTTCAGTCCCGTTCGCCCAAGTGTACGCAATTATGACAGTAAACAGAGTCCGTGACAAAAGGCGACGTAGGAGAGAGGCAAAATACGAATGATGAAATCACTGCAATAATATTGAGTGGTACAGGCGCCGGTTTGCTCTTTCGCCGGTGTTTATATTGCCACGAGCGCTTTTTACTGCGCCTGGCGTGAACGCCCGCAAGATTTTCTGACGGGCAATCATCGAATCACGCTGAAGAGCAGAATGATCTCGTGGCTGTCAGGAGGTGATAAAAGTTACGCCGTATGGTGATTTGCTCTTAATGGCCGCTCGTGGGACGCAAATGTGAGGTGAGAATGGAAATATCTGACGCTGCTCGTTCCAAGAAAATGCAGCATCCATATTTCGCTCAGATCTTTGCTCGATTATAATCAGCGACTAATATGAAATGCGATGAAAACAAATGCAAAAATTTTGTCAATGAAGTGTTTTTTTTTTTCTTCATACGTGATATTGAGTTACACTGAAAAGATTTGATTAATATATTAATCTATTATCTATTAATCGTTTATATATTAATTTATTAATTTATTTGATTAATATATTAATCTATTATCTATTAATCATTTATATATTAATTTATTTTTACAAAAAAGAGATATACTAAAAATTATTAATTATATATAATTATTAATTAATATATGAATCTATTATCTATTAATCAATTATATATTAATATATTAATTTATTAATTTATTTTTACAAAAAAGAGATGTACTAAATTAATTCAATATAATTAGTAATTTTTGAAATCATAAAATATCTGTATTTGTTTTCAGAATTTTAATAATTCTCATTCTACTCCAATCAATCAAAACATGATGTCAGAATGTTATTTCTACAAAAAGTATTGCTAAATTATTTATATAGAATTAATAATTTTTGGAATCATAAAAAAATTGTGTATTTGTTTTCAGAATTTTAATAATTCTAATAATAATTAATAAATAATAAGTTAATAAATTCTAATAAATTAATAATATTTAATAATTTCTAATAATTTTAATAATTCTCACTCTACTCGCAATTGAAACATGAAATTTTCCCCGGCCACGAAAACACCACAGCTTTTGAATTTTTTAAAGCTACACACATTCAAGGCTTGCGCGGAGAATTTTGCGAAAGTCAAGTTTTACAATCGCATACGAGCAATCGGGTTAATTGGCACCTTGCAGGATTACAAGCCGGGGTAACGAAGAGAGTGCCATTTATCCGGATAATTTTAATCCACGTGTGTTGCGTGCCGTTTTATGCGTGCAAAGGAATCCGCCGTCGTGCGCAGACAATCCCAATAATTGTACGCGACAGAGAAGCGCGCTATGTGCGAGATAATTAATCGGTCGATTAATTAAACGGCTCGCGGCTCGCCTTTGAACGCCGGTGCGGTTCGCGCACGGCCTTATTCCGTCCGATCGTACATCATCGCGCGGACGCGACGTGTCGTTCATTGCCCGTAAATATAGTAATTCAGCGACACGTTAGCGACCCCGTATATTTACGCGTCGCGGTTCATTCACTTCCATTTACGTGTCGCGATGAGAAATCGCCGCGCTCGAATTATTCGAGGCTCTTTCGACGCCCGAAAATCGAGCTGTGTATTTCTCTAGGAGAATCTCGCCTCCGCCCACGTTCTTGTTAATCTTGGATTTAAAAGGCTGGGGTTTTCGATTGAAGCAATTTGTATTTATAGTTCTCTGATTAATTTTATAAAATGACTTAATTCTATAAAAAATAGAAATTTATAATATTTTTTATTATTTATATTATTTATTTTATTTTTTATTATTTCATTATTTAAAATATTATAATTTATATTATTTTTTATTATTTTTATTATTTTTATTTAGTATCTTTCTTTCTATAATATTACCGAAACTTATGATAGAACTAATACTTCATTTTATATTTTAATTTATATACTTTTTATATATTTTTTTTTATTTTATTGTAAAATTGTCAATTTAAATATGGGATTTTAAATATCGTGGAATCCTAGCTTAAATTTTTCCATCTTTTTCAAGAGATATGCTTTTGCATTTTTGCAGAAGATGGATTTAATTTCTTTACACTCATGTTTTGTGTGCGTTTAACATTGTATGTACTTAATGAATTATTGTAAGCGCAGATTAAGATTCATTTATAATATTTGAAGGGCAGTTAATTAACTTTGGATTAAACACACACATACATGTAAAATTTTTTTTTTTACTTATAGCGTTCATTATTAATACATGGAGATATTTTATCGGATATTTCTTTAACTCAAAGCTGCATTGTTTATTCAATCTTCATCAACATCACGATCTAATCTTGATGTGCATTTACCTCTTGTGTTTATGCATCAAGATAATATTTATGTATTCTGCTTTATAGACTATTTTACTGCAGGAGTTTTGTTTTTAGTCCGTAATGCAATGTTTAGAACTTTGATTTCTAGACGCACGTTATATGTAGCATTTGAACTTTAAACTCTATACTAACTCTAATTAACTCATCTACTCCGTTTCAAGCTATAATAGTTTAATTCCAAGTGAAGTTTACGCAGCACAACTTCTTAAGGATGTTTTGTATGTATTTTGTATGTACAATCCCAGCCAAAAATAGCTGAAAATCAATATTGACGAATATATCCACTTTTGATGTATTTTGAATATGAGAAATTGTGAAATATTGCGAAATATTATAATTTGATCTTAGCTATAGTGCAGAGATGTATTTTTTAATATTTATTGCGAATTTTACTGAATATTCCGAATTTTGTTAATTGAAATGATTAACTTTTGGCAGAGAATTTCTTTGTGACAGATACATGACTAACTTCATTGAATTATATTTAATATCTTTTTAACCAGTTAATATTTGTATAATATTATTTGATCAAATATTTCTTCTGTATCTAAACTTTTGCAAATTTTAAACAAATTCTGAATATTATTTCCATGTGTTTTTGTCATTTGAATCGACGTGGTTATACGTTTCCCATAAGAACGCATGTTAATTCGGTGCAAATTAAAATCCTTATAACTTGTAAATCGATTTAAAAATTGTACTGAAGATTCTAAACATATGTAAGGACATTCTGTAGAATTTTCATTAAATTCTCAATATTTTAAAAATAGGTACAAAACATCCTTAATTGCAACGACATTAATTACGAAACTAATTATTCCATATTATCTCATGTCTTGCGAAGTTCATCTATCACTCACCCCGCATGATACCTCGTGTATGTGGGAGCTGCTGTCGGAGCCAGCTGATAGCTCTGCGTGACGGCCTCCCTCGGCTGATGCCGATGATCGCCGTGATAACCCGCATACGCTGTCGCCCTGGTACCATCGTGCTCCGCTATCGTCACAACACCAAACTTATGCTCCGTATGATGATGCCTCGATACCGAGTTTATCTGCTGCGGTGATCTCGTCGCTGACACCTGCAACGGGGTCCATGGAGCCCTGGTGGTGGTCGTTTCTCGGGCTCTGTGTTCGTCGTGCCTGGCATGAAGAAGTCTGTCGCGATACCAGGCTGGCCAGACGACTCTGTGCGAGGGCAGCCGATGATGATCCTTCGGAGACGATGGAGCGGAGCTCGCCATCGCGATAAGCAAGCACGCCAGCAGTATCTTCAGGGCCATCGCGTCCGGCTCCTCGAGAGACTTATCGTATTTATGACGATCGCGCGACGTCCTGACAACGACAATGTACCACGAGCCGTCACATCCTCGACGACCGCGAGGGACATCCGGTGCGAGATCCTCTACGAGCAGCTGAGAACACTACTGAGAGCACTACCGAACGAGAGACGAACACGGAGCGGGGCCCACGTGCTTCAGCTGCTGGTACCAACCCCACCATGGGTCTCCTTCTTTCTCCGTCTCGTTCCTTCCCTTGTGTTCGGGCTTCCCTCTTCTCCCCATTGCCGCGTTTACTCATCAGTATTCGTTTGTGGCCCAGTCCGCCCGGTCTGACTCTCTTTTCTCCCTTTCTCCTTTCCATTCTCATACCGTAGCAGCCGTCTGTTCCCCTGATATCCCACCGAGTCCTTCGGTAACCACTTACATATCCTTCCGCGGTCTAACCAGTGCGGGGAGGGCAGCGTTTCTCTCGTGGTCGCTATCTTTACGAGCGATAACGCTATTCCCGACAAAGCTCTTGCAAAGGTATCGCGATTCGAAAATAGATGGGGATCGTGTATGAATTCTATCGAGACAAAGTGTCGAATAATTAACGGGGGTAAAATAACGTATAAATGCAGAGGTTGGAATTGCAAAGCGTATTTCTTGAAAAAGATGGAAAAATTACAGTTACAATTATTTAAAATCCCATATTTAAATTGACCTTTTTACAATAAAACAAAAAAAGTATATAAACATTAATATATATAAATTAAAATACGAAATAAACAGTATTAGTTACTATCATAAGTTTTAATAATATTATAGAAAGAAAAATACTATAACAAAGAAATTGTAATTTTTTTTATAGAATTAAATCATTTTGTAAAATTAATCAGAAAGGCATAGCAAAAAGATATAAAAAAAGTTAAAGTGCAGAATCCTAAAAAGATAAGTAACCTAAATGAAATGTTCATGAAGATAAAATACGAGATGATAATAATATTATACGAGAATATTTTAAATTAATATCATAATTATAATAATATAATTGAAACAATGCCGGTTTGCTAATAATCAAATGCAATGCGGTGATAATTGTTGTCATGACCAGGAACCGCAACACCGCTGATATAATGTTCAGTATGCATAATTTGTTAATGATTTGTGTTCCTCGTTGTTAAGAGAAAAGATAACCCACAGACTGTAAAATGAGAAATGAAATAACCATTTGCAAAATTACATCTGATTGACATATTCACGAAGAGAGACAGTATAATAAATGCATCAAGTAAAATATATGCATATTGTCGCGTTTTAATTTTCGCGAATAATTATAAAAAATAGAAAAAAAAAATTACACACTATCAACCGCGGTGGCTCTTAATCGTTCTTTTCTAGTGTATCGTGTTGTTAAATACATAAAGAGCCTAATTCTTTATCAATTTATTAATTTAGTATAATAAATATTAATAAATAAATATAATTAAATAAAGGTCCATAGGATAAAATCAAAAAAGGCAATAAAAGGCTTAAAGGACCAGCGCAATGATGAAAAGATGCGAAAAGAAACGGTTATATTAATGTAATAAATCCAATAAAACGTTTATTTGATTTAAATGACAAACGCTGCGTTTCGATCCAATTCGGATCTCTTTTATTATTATTTATTTTGTTTTGCGTCTTTCCGTTTCTTATTACTAATGACTGTTAATTTGATTGTATTTTATTTTATTTTTATGTTTTTACTGTTATATCGCGATTTGACATTGAAAAGGATCCGAATTGGATCGAAACGCAGCGTTTGTCATTTAAATCAAATAAACGTTTTATTGGATTTATTACATTAATATAACCGTTTCTTTTCGCATCTTTTCATCATTGCGCTGGTCCTTTAAGCCTTTTATTGCATTTTTTGATAAATATTAATGTAAATTTAAAAAGATACGTATAATTTTTATACATTTATCTAGCTTTTAAATATATGAAAAATTCTTGTATCGCTTGTTCAGCTCTTGATTTTGCGAAACCCCGTTAAAAATTACTTAGTCTGAAATCATATGCAAAATAAAAGATACAATAATGTCCTTTTATTCTCTTTAGCTTCAGTCATATGAAGAATTCCATGACTAGATTGATACACTCGATTCTTCTAAGTTCAGCCAGCAAGGGAATTGCTCGAGATCGATTTTGCGACGTCGAAGTTGAAAGTTGCGCGCACCAGAAGTCCCTGTGCAATTCCTGAATCACTTCGGCCAAGACGTTACTCGAGACCAAGGTCAGTGGTGCAGTGGCTGCAACCGAGGTCTCCGTTACTTTTTTGCTCGTTCCTCGCTGACTGGGGGGCGAACGGAGAGGAGCGGAATAATTGCACGGATCATCGTCACGTTATTGCCCATTAGAGGAGAACGGGGCACACAAAACACAGAAGCATGTCGCAAGAGATAAATCAATGTGGCAGGATAATATACCGCGACGTTCATTCCCACGAGCCCGATCTACCCTCCTCATCTATTTGCGATCTCCCCGATGCTTCGATGGTACAGTTTCATGGCTTTGTCGTCGTACAAAGTGTTGAGTATGAGGTATTTCTTAGAACAGATGGCGATAAACTTTATGGAGGAAAAGGAAGGAAAATTATTATGAATTCCTTTCGCCTCTTTCTCTCTGCCCCTCTTATTCTCTTTGTATTGTTACACTTCCTATTTAAGAGCCAGATAAATGTACTCATTTAAATGCGAAGGACACAGTGAAGCCGAAGTAATGTTTCATTCGGACAGTGCCAGTGCGCTCAAATGAAATGCTTATGATTAATGCTACCAACACTGCACAGGAATGTTAATCGAACTCACTGCGATCGCAAAAGTGCTTTCTTTTTTTTTTAAATGTCGTTCTTTCCGCGCTGCGTACGATAAGCTTCGTTATCGAGACATCGTAGACATCGTCTCATTAATTATTGCTCGCGCACATTTCATTCTGTCGATAATTCGTCCGACCGGTTTGTCTTGACAATCAATTGCAGACTCATCGAACTGTGCGTGAGCAATCATAACGTTGGTTAACGATTAGTTATTCCCATAGTTAGCTTTAGACCTCGCTCCAAATTATGACTTGTGAGTCATGGCAGTCTTACGTTATCAAATATGAAAGAAAAAAATCAATTGATTTTCTTTAGAGCATTTTTAAACCAACTTTCAAAATTTACTTTATATTAAAGCTTTATATAAAATTATAAAATTAAAATTTTTAATTATATAATAAAATTAAATTATATAAAATTTTAAAATATTATAAAAATTTCTTAATCAAATTTTCATTTTTCGTATAATTTTTATCCGCTATGTTTTTCTTATAAAATTTGCACAAGTTGTCAATAGCATATTTTTAAACGAGCTAGAGCTTATTTAAAAGTTAGAAAAATATACTCGAGCTAAGGTCAATTTTAATTTAAGGATGTTTGTGCTTGGGTAATGTAACTTATTATACTGCGAAAGATACTATAAAAATTTTAGCATCTTAGAAATCTGCGTCATTGAAATCTGTTTCTTCAATTTGCATTTTTATGACTGAACTCTTAGACACGCATAAGAAAACACTGAGGAAAGAAATCATAAGTATGCATATCTCTATGCAATATTTTCCATAAAGCATAGAAAATTCCATTCTGTGGAGGAAAGTAATGTTGCGGAAGAAATTAATAGTCGCGAGAAGTCGTTGAAATTATAACGATGCCGTAAACTTTAACCTTTTCTCGAGAGGAAACATACAACATAATCAAAAATTAATCTCATGATAATAATTCGTTGCTTGCATTTTATGCGCATGATAAAAAATACATATATATATATATATATATATATATATATATATATATATATTGTATTTTTATAAATTCTAAAAAATCTCCAAGCGTCAAATTCATCGGCAATTTAATATCTTTTTTAAGGAAAAATTTTTATTTAAAATAAAAACATTAACTCTCATTTATTACATTTTATAATGTTTTATAATATATCATCTTTTACTAAACATTTTATTAAATAAATATATATAATATATATTCTTGTATAAATTTTTATAAATCTTAAAAAATAATTTGCACTGTTACTTAATAATAAAATAGATATGACATTATTTAAAAAATGTCGCAATATGAATTTAATAAATAAAATTTCGAACGCGTTTAATTTTTTTAGGGATTAAATAAATAAATTGTAACTTTTTTTTTAGACACAATTGCTATTTTCAATCAATTCAAAATTAATTTTTATATCTATTTTTCATCGTTAATTATCGTTTGATTAATTTACATGAATTGTACCAGCTCTCTCTATCTGCAATCTCAGAATGTACATTTCATAAGAAATGATTTTATGAATCGTAATGCCTTGAGGCTTGCATATCAATGATAGATGGTATCGTAAATAACAAGATGTAGCTTCCGTCGTAAAAGCAAATTACGGAGAACTTAATCAAAGATACGATCTATATTTCTCGATCGCAAAATAAATAAATTATTACTCTTTTTCATACTCTTGGTAGAAGATAATTGCGATTTAATGCATTTTATATACGGTTATAGGAAATTTTTTTCTTTGCATTATACATTTTGCAGAATAACCTGTCGTCCATGTTACTATTAGAATATTGATACTTTAGAATATTGATGTTACTATTAGAATATTGATACTTTAGAATATTGATATTCTGTAAAATTTATCATTAATATATGTAATATACATATGTATAATTTTTTGTTATCAAAAATGAGAAATATGTACAAATATCAGTAATAAGTATATTAATAAATCAGTATGTTTTTCTATTTTTTATTTTATTTATTATTTTGTTACTAATATTTTTCTCATTTTTTTATGTACAGAATTTTTAATATTTTATTAATTATAAAACACAGTATATATATTTGTGTAATATATAATATTATATATATTTTTAATATATATATTATATACATTTTTTTATTTTCTTTCTTTGCAGTAAATAAAAGATATAGGTCAGTACGAAGTAATAAGCCGATGTTCACGATGTGACATTTAAAGTATATTTATTGAAGTATTATTCATAATTAAATAGCATAATTATATATATAATTTTCTTTTTTAATTAGTTTCTTGCCGATAAAATATTGTCCACTAAACCATTCATCATCAAACATGAGATTATTCCTGGATTAATGTGCTATGTCTGTTTGCAGTATCTAATGCTCTCTAATTCTTATACACCCAATGTATGACGCAAACACACGGATACATATATTACACTCGGGTCACGTATCCAGGTTTTGACCTACTGACCTACACGATCCTGTGACGTCACGGGAAAGAGCAATAGGATGGCGAAAGGGTGGCAAGGCTGGAATAGGAGGAACTTCAATATGACGAAGGAAATGTTTTTCTCGGTAAAACATGATGGGGATAATTGCTAAAATGATGGAGATAATTCAGATATTATAAACATTTTACGTGAGGTAAAAAATTTTTATACTTTTGATATTTAAATATAATTTATTTTTTCATAAAATAAAGAAATATAAAAATATGGGGATAATTGCTAAAATGATGGGGATAATTCAGATATTATAAACATTTTACGTGAGGTAAAAAATTTTTATACTTTTGATATTTAAATATAATTTAATTTTTCATAAAATAGAGAAATATAAAAATATTTAATTTTTAATAGAAAGCCTTAATTATAAAATAATTTATAAAACAATTTTTGTTATTTAACTCTATAACAAACTGGTATTATAGTTTTATATTTCACGGAAAAGCTTTTTATAAAAGATTTTATTACATTTTTGTTCGTGCAATCTGCAATCAAATATAAAATACTTAGAAAAAGAATAAATGAAATCATTTAAGTACTTTTTTATATTTTCTAGTTATCATTAAAATAAAAATATAATTTAAAAACACACATGTTTGTGTTTATATTTGCAATTTAAAAAAAAATTAGCAATACATAATTACAAAATTAATATTAATCTATCTATTAATTTAATTAATTAATTTATTTTTTAATAAGATGTTTCTTGAAAGGCATATTTTCATTCTATCAAATTTTTTTTTAATATTCAAAAGACATATATTGGATAGGATAGATAAATATGTCTACATATTCGGGCTCGAGGCTGTTAATTTCTATAAAACCATACAGAAGATGGTTAAATCCTCGTTAATATGCGTTATCATGCCTTGATATACGAAATTTTAATATTTGCTTTAACGAAGTTTTGCTTAGATTGATGTCGACTAATCGCTATATTTACCAGCCAATGTCAGACAATTAACCAAGAACGGCACCATCCTTTGTCTAAATTCTCGCGCTCTCCTTCTTCGTTTTATATGCTATTTTACAACTTTTTATATCCCTTTCTCGTATTTTTGATAGAATTTTTTCACATGATCAAAACCATCGAGTTTGTCGCAGTTTCAGCCTCCCGGAGATTGGCGAGAAGCCGAAAACTGATTAATATAAGAGGTCATCGCGTGATCGGAAAAAAAGTCTCCATCGTTAAAAATCATCAATGTCAGTCATAGCTTCCTGGTTAGATTTATTTACCTCACTCAGGTATCTTCATTCTGACAGCAACAATTTCTGCCGAATTATTTAACACCGTCACGAATCGACAAACAAATTTGAGCGTCACTGCGTCAGCAGTGAGAATTTTCTGGGAATATTGGAAGGACATTTTAATTGGAATAGTTGATGTAACTGAAAACGAGGTATATATAAGTTATATATCAATAATACATCGTTAATATAATTCTACAATATTATAATATAATTAAAATATAAATTAATAACTTTTCTAAACATTAATTTTTCAGATAAAATATATTTAAATATATTTAAAATTAACTTTAATTAAAAATATTTTGTTTTATCTATTTGATCTTTATTTAAATTAATTTCCAGAGTATATATGTGTTACTATTATCTTGTATTATGTGTGAAATATATCAAAAATATTGTGGAAAGAAGGATGCTTGGCTAAGGCTTTTTCTCCTTTATTTATTAATCTTTTAATTATTACATATATATATATATATATATATATATATATATAATTTAGAATATAGATTTATATTCTTTGAATAATAAATGATTAAGAATTATGAAGCTTTGAGATATAAAATGTATAAATGGCTGTGTATTAATATATAAATAACAAAATTTTATTTTTAATTAATTTTAAATAAACTCAATAAAATTTTAACTGACAGTTAATTATAAATTAAATATTTAAAAATAAATTTTTATGAGAGAAAGAGAAGATTTGGATAAATTAAATTTAAAGTAGAATTTGTTTAAATTTAAATTTATATATAATTTCAATTAAATTAAACGACAGATTATACTAGAAATATTTAAAAATAGCCACATTTTTATTGTTATATGCGCGATGTAAATCGTAACATGTATACATATGTGTCTTTCCGCTTCAATAAGCGTTTCTTGGAAGTAGCTCATCGTATAAACCATCTCCATATATTCTAACGAATAATTCCAGAAACGTCGATTTGCATGTGAAATACAGTCTTTTCCATCTATTTCGCGGAAACGTAGAATATCCCGTTTGCCTTGACATCGTATAACGGGGTGTCTAAAATGTATCTCTACGATATCACACTTGACCTCCCTTATACTTTTCCAGCGATTTTGCTGATTCATCGAATATGCTTTACAAATATTATCGATGTATCTTGGACACCGTGTAGTTTAAACATACATGACATTATGCGTTTCAATAAACACATCTATTTGCTCTCGAACAATTTTTTCCATGTTATTCCGCTCCAGAATTGAAACATGAAATGTTGGTTCTATCGTCGAGAAAATATTCTGCAGTTGTGTTTCATATTTTCGTCGATAAGAATTGAATCCTTACTTTTGTAGCTACTTAAGCCGCTGCAGTCGGCAACATAACTATGTTGAATTATAGATTTATATCGATTTATGTATTACTAGCTTAATGTTGCTTTATGTCTCGCTCTCTCTTTCTCTCTTCTTGAAATAGATACATATTTGCCGATATTTACAATTCCTTAATTCTATTTTAATTTTTTTTTATTAATTTATAATATTTTAGAGAGAAAGAGAGAATTTAATCAAACTTCTTTACTCACCTTGAAACAAAATGACGATATTTAATAATATTTAATAATAATAGCAAATTTTTAATCATTTTATCATAAAAAAATGCAGTTGCATTCTTATAATAATTTATGTTTATAATAATTTAAAATAAAACTTTGAAAAATATTATTTTTGTGATTCTAGATACCACATCGCGGTCTTTTACGAGTCAGTATTCACGGCCATTCTATGTTTCGGATAGTCGACCCATCTCCTAGTTTCAGGCAGAACACCAGCGAGTGGATCTATAAGGTCAGTCCCGACAGTAAAAACGTGCGACCAATGCGAAATTTACCCCGGGAGTTCTCTTGCAAATGGGTCACTTTGGTAGAAAGAAGAGAGAGCGCAAGGTTACGCGCACACACGCGAACGACGGAGATGTCGCAGAGCTATAAAAGTCGAAAATGCTGTCCGACAGCGAACAAGCGAACGTGTTCGAGACGTAGGGGCTCTCTAAGCGAATTACTTGGGATCCACACGTGGATCTCAAGGTGCGCAGCCTTGAAAACCTACGACGACCGTGAAATCGATCGTAGCTGCACGATGCTTTCTCGTGCAATCTTCAAACTAATGTCGGTATAAGAGATCGAATAAATCACCTGTCAATTTCACAAACCGCGACATCAACGATTTGTTACACGATAAATATCCAATTTCTTTTTTTTACTGCATTATTAATATATAGTTTTATGATAGTTTTAATATAGTTTTATGACTACGTTTCCTTAAACTATTTTAATTTTAGTATTTTATTTAGTTTATTTTAATATTTTTATATATTTTATTAAATAATTAGATATTTTTATAAATAATAATATAATTAAATACTTTTTTAAAAATTAAATATTTTGATTTAATTAAATTTAATTAAATTTAAATATTTTTATACATATTTTATTGCGGATATGTAGAATGTTAAATCTTATTTATGTATAAAATTTTATGGTTTGCAGCATAAAAAAATAACGTAAAAATTTATCATTATTAATGAAATTACATAAACACTGATTTGATAAAAAAATAGGATATTAAGAAGTATTAATAAGTATATAGTACTTTTCAATAATAAAATTAATATAAAATTATTAAAAAATAAATTTTGTTAATTTTTTGTCATTTTTATCAAATTATCAATATGTCAAAAATTGTCACATTTTGCTATTCATGCAATTATCTAATTTAACTTTGCAATTTTATTCTGGAAAAATTAATTAATTAATTGTAACTTCAATACAATTAAGTAGCGCAAAATCCTATTCTAAAATAATGCATTGAGACTTTATTTTCTTATTGATTATTAATTTATTTTATTGATTTTTTAAAGAACATTTCATTCTGTAATTTATTTAAGTCTTATAATTATATTAAAATATATCACAACATTTAACTTGTTTCCAGATGTTATTCCTCTGGTCAAGAGAGGGACCAATTCCGAATCCCAGAGCCGGTCCATGGTTCGCCTGGTTCGCGACGGCCGTTCTTTTGTGGCAATTTCGACGTCGCATCACCGGGGCAATTCTGGCGGTTTCGCCGCTAAGGTTATTAAGAAGAAGACGCAACGCCGGTTTGGCGATCAATCAGAAAATAATATTGAAGCAACAAAAACGACACAGCCTGATGCAATTACACAAGCACAAGGCCATTGGTATACGACGAGCGAAACGTCTGTACACCGGCGATGGTCCGCATATGTCCGACATGTCAATGATTCAAGCCGCACCGCAGATCCATTATAGGGTCACTAGAAGCGGTAGGATTTACGGCAAATACCCGAAGACCGCTATACCAAATGGCGGCATTCAAGGAAGCCACTGACGCCGCATTAGGATTATCGAGCTCCCAACCACTGTCCTTGTCCCCTTGTACAAATCTCGTGATCGGTCGTGATCGTCGTTGATGTAATTTCATATCCTCTAAAATAGTCGCGAATATGATATATTTTCATATCTTTCTCTCGTGACATAAATTCCTTTTATAAGAGACGTGCTGTTCTTTTAACTTTTACGGACGATTTCGAAAAAATATGTACCATAGTCGTTTTTCGCTTTTATAATAAAAATTGAATAATCTTGAAAATTTATTTCTCATCTCGATGTTTGGATGGAAGCAGTAATATGTGTCATATTTCAGCAGATTTTCCGCACGAAATGTTACACAGAAATTATATGACGCCGTTTCATGGAAAATTAAATGATATAATTGATTTAATAAATAATTAGTTTCAGGAATTTAATCATTTAATTTATTGTTTGTACAGATTTTTGCATGAAAAATTTTAAATTACGCTAATAGGAATAAAATATTTATATTATAAATACATTGCGCACGTTATATGAGACAAAAGATAGCATTAAAAAATTAAAAAAGAATTAAAAAATCAATAGTTGTTGTCGAACTGATTTTTTTAAATATTAATTGTTACAATCTTCATGCATATTTGAGTACTTCTTTTCTGAGATTTTTCCTAACTTGAAAGCTTAAATATCTTCATAAAGACCCGACTTTATTCTCTTTCTCGTCTTCTTCATATTCTCGAGATATTTTCAAAAGCATTGTTCAGCAAAGGCTTTTCAAAGAGATCATAACATTCAATTTTTTAATTTTGTCTGCATTCACCTTCTCTTTCATAAATACAAATCAAGATCTGCCAAGGCATCAATAATTTTGGAATTTTTAATGATTAAAAATTTAGAAAATTAAGAATAAAGAAAGTAACATATTACGCATATTTACCTAATATTTGTATATTTTACATGTAATATAAATATATATGTAATATAGTTTATATGTATTTCTAGAAATTTATATATTATTTATCTACGTTAGGATTAATTTTAACTTACATATTAATTGGGACATAAATTTAAAAAATCCAATCGTCCTCAAATTTTTTCAAATGAAGAGAAAAATGCCAATTGGAATAACGGAACGTCTAAAACGTCTTTCCCTAAGCTGTCGCGCAAGTAGTGTATCGCGGAAAAGCACTCGTTGGCATAGCCTAAGTAACAATGAAATACTGCACAACTTTCGTATCAGAGATGTGCCAATTTGAGCGGCACAATGCCCGCGGTTTCAGAATGAGCGAATGCATGGAACATGTGCATCGTTGAGCAGAATGGTAGGTAACTGTGCCAAATTTAATCATTCAGTATAGCCGACTATAATATATACACGCATACTCATATATATACTTCGATATACACGTCATTGACATCAGGGTATTCGCTGTACGTTGTTATTTTAAGGATTCAGAAAGATACGATACTTATAACATATCAGTTTTGTTTTTTAAATTTTATAAAATATATTAGAAATATATCGAAATTTATTATTGCCTTTTTTCTTCGATATGATTAATTATTTTCATATACGTTATTCTGCGTTATTTCGATGAGGATTCATCATTGAGCAAATTTTTATTATTATATCATCGAGAAATTAATAATAAATTAATAATATGTGATTTGATCTGCTTGATGTTGCTGAGAGTTTAATATTATTTTAAAGAACAAAGAAAATTATACTTTAGTAAAAAGTTTGCAACAATATATTGAAAGACTCTCATTGTGGAGATTGATACTTTTACAGCTTTTAAAGTCAAGCATGCAGTCAAAACCCGTGTGTGATGATCAAGTTCACTCGTAGCGTGTTGCTTTCACTGATGGGCGATCAAAGCCAGCTCGTGGCGTGTTGCTTTTGCTGTCAATGGAATATAAAACATAAAATTTATTCAAACAATAACACATTAGAAATAATATTAATAAAAAATTAAGATGCCATTTAAATAAAATCGAAATTATAATGATTATATAATTAAAAATAAATTATAATCTATTAAAATTTAAAGACTTATTGGAAAAATAAAAGAAATGTTGCTAAGAACGTAAAAAAAGAATGTGATTTAAGTAACTAATTTTGTAATTTAAGACTTCATTTTCGATATTCGATAAAAGAAAAATTTTCATTATATATTCGAGTTTAATTAAGAACTCGAAACGCATATCGAAGTACTCTGTAAAAAATACTTTACGATCGAATGAATTAACAATTCAAATTCAAGTGGCAAAAAGAAATGAATAAGCTAAAATTATCACAAAACCGCATTAATATGCGAAAATCCTGCTTTTCTTATCTCTGACGTTCTAAATAACTATTACGTGGCACCGTAAATAACTTTAATAAAATTTTGATGAACTGTCTAAGGACCTAATTTAAATTTCTAACTGATGTAATTAACAGCGGACGTAACGTTATCTCGTGAGAATCACCGTCGATTTTCTGACTTTAATCAAAAGGGAGCGAATAAATTACGGGGACGGCTCCATCAATGCCGTTTAAAGATAAATTGATGAACGCACAAACTCTCTCTCTCTCTTTTTCTCTGATTCAATTTTAATAAATGAGTATTTGTGGTTTTACTAACATTTCGTATTCAACAAAATAATAATTTTTCAATCAAAAATTAAACAATTTTCTTCAAAAATACACCGAAAAAATTGTATTCTTAACTTAAGAATATGCCACTTATCTTTAGAATATATATCACTAAAATAAGCACCAAAAGGATCCTCTTAAGAAGAAAATCTTTTAAAGAAATATTCTTAATACATAAAGAAAAATATTTCTTTGGATTTAATAAATTTTGTTGAAGTCAAATAAATTTAATTATTGGTCTAAAGTTTTTTTTCGTCTAATTTCAAATAATCTGTTTAATATTTTGAATCCAACAAGGAATCCAGATTAAATAAATTATTTTAAATTCAGCTTGAAATTAAACTGATAAACAGTGATATCAAAGAGGATGGTGACTCACAAGCACATAGAGAACCTATATTTGAGCAGCGTCCCCTCTTTCGCATCATTGCTAAGGGGAAAAATATACTTTAGATCTTACGTTAATACAAGTCCTTTATATACATTTCATAATAAATATTGAATACGAGAAAAATTAAGAGTGGTGTCATCGCATAGCCGGAAATGAAGAAATATGTCGCGCATACGAAAATCGAGTTGTAGAAGTCGCAAATTAAGAATATATTCTTATTCATTAAGAATATATTCTTATTCATTAAGAATATATTCTTATTTATTAAGAATATTTATTAAGGGAACTTATAAAGTATACATTTCAAGAATACAATTTTTTCGGTGTAATCTTGTTAAAAAAGTATAAATTATATTATGCCCGAAATATTCTGTTATTTATTTGTATATTACGCAAATCAATATACTTAAAACCATTCTTTCTCTTTAATTTTTACCTCTTTTCCTTATTGTTCTTTATTTTTGTCAAACTCTCTATATAAAATGAAGTTATAATGCATGTAATTAAAAACTTCATGTTAACAAACTTTTAGGATTTGCAATTTAAAGTGGAATTATAGGATTATCTGGAATTTATAGAATTATTGATTATATATTTTTTATCGCATAGCACAGAATAAAATCGTATGATGAAGCTTGACTGCACCAGCAATTTAAATTAATTAATTCTGTGTGACTTAATTACATATCTATATATGTTATTATTTAAATTATGTCGCCATTTCTTCTCTATAATATATAAAAAAAAAAGAATTTGATCATCCACGGCGCAAACTATGACCATATCACTTGCGAATTAAGGAGAACAAAAAAATGATCGACACAATTGCAGCGATTGCTTAAATAAAATACGACAAATTATACATGTGTATGAAATACTTATCGAGGACATATTATACAATTTTTACACCCAAATGAAATTAAAAATTTCAGAGTTCGAGTGACAAGGTCCTCTCATAAGGAAGTTGTCTTAGAGGAGACGCATTCCGCATTATAATAAGAAATATTCGTCGATACTCCGCTTCTCGTCAAGTGCAGCAAAGCAGAAACATCGAAGCGGCGAACTCACAGAATCGAGGATCGATAAACAGTCGTCGTGGGACATTGGAGCGAGGGCAAATTCAAGAACTGTACGACCGAGGACAACAATTTCATCGTTCGCCGATCCTTTCCTCGCACGTTTGACAAGCTCGGAAAAATCTCCGGGTGCCCGTGACAGCGAGAACGCGGAGCAAATTCGTCGACGAGACGTGATTCGTAGACGTGAGTCGCGACAGCAGGGTCGCAGCCTCGAATGCGCCGCGAAAATGCCCGGGTGGGAAAGGGTGGATCGGGGGTGGCGCGCAAGCGTCGTCGGCGTCGTATCGACGCCTCGACGCCCGGGCCGAGGGAGAGAAGCGGACTTTCTCTGCCAGTAGTTGTAGAAGTCCCGGTTGGAGTCGAGCGAGAGTGCGAATATGTGCGCCTGTGCGTAACGGTGTGCTTCTGCATCTCGAGTGGACCTCACGGCAGAGCGGGAGGAATATATAAGGACGTTGAGAGACAGGAATCGGCGATACGAGCAACAACGACGACGAGGACGACGTGGACGAGGACGACGCGCTATCAGCGTCTCGGCTGTCGCTGCCGACTCGGCCGGGTTTCGCGGAGAAAAGCGACGCGAGAGGGTGAACGGGAGCATCAGGAGGCTGCGACAAGAGGCACTAGCGGAGCTGCTGGTGCACGCGACCAGGATGCGACCGAGGAGGTACGTGTGACGTCGGTTGAACGTGGCCGAGGGTGATAGTGGATAGGGGATGCGAACGATGCATACCAAGTACTCGGGATTTCGGATGCTGCGTGGATCGCGATGCCATTCCTTGCCTTGCTCAATGATGTATTAGGATTCTCCCTGGTTTGTCGATATTGTGTCGCTCCAAATTTTGCCTCTCTTCCTCGATATAATGTTGAGTGAATGATCCGAAGGATGTAAAAGGTGCGAAGATGCAAAAAATCTTTTCTTCTTTCTATCTCTGATATCTTCACGCATCAAAACATGTTCTTGCAGTTTTCAGCTGCATCTTCAATTTTTAATTCCCATGCATCGTTTGTTTTGTCATTTCTCTATTTTATTATGCAAATAGCATATCTCATCTTTATTAGTAAATTTAATTCATTAATGATGTCTATAAATAATATTATATCGTTAATCTATAATATAATTATATATATTTTAGATTAATAATTTATATGAAATTTATATTATTTCAAATAAATTCCAATAATGTCAAATGTTTTAAAACAGATTTTTAAACCTATGGCAATTTTTCAAATTCTACTATAAAATTAAATATACGTGAAATATATTGTGTAAAAATTAAATCAACCAACCTCATTAAGAATTTTTATGAATAAATTTACTCTTTTATTATTTTTTTGCTTGTTGCAAAATTGCTACAAAGAGCTGTTATTAATAATAAGTGCATATACGGGGAACAAATAAAATTTCATACCGCGAGCCACAAGCACGCGGCTGGAAATCTGCGATGTGCATTGACTCGCGCGCGCTCGCTACTCGTGGATCACCCTCTTATCGCGACACATGCGCATGACTGGGCAAATATTCGGTTAACTAAACAAAAGAGAGTAACCCCTGCTGTGTCGGATACGAGTTCGGGGTGGTTCGTCATCGTGCATCCCGATAGGAAAGCGCTCTCGCTCCGGCGGTAATTGAAGAACCCCGCCGGGAAAAGCGTCGCTTGATGCTTTCTTTTTGTCAGCCGCAATGATACCACGTCGTTGATTGTCGTCGGATATGAGAATGGATAAAAATAGCGGAGCGTTTCGAACCCATGAGAGAGACCGTGTTTGAATCAACCTTTCCAGTTTTCGTATAATTGTAAGACCACATACTGGAAATTAAATTAGATTAAAGAATTAAATTCAAGATTAGATTACACAGAGTTTTGATTAAGTTAATCAAGTCAGAAATTTTATATAATATTGGTTTATCAAAAAGATATAAATTTTTAACAGAATGATTAGATGAAAAAAGGAGCTTTATTCGAAGATTTCTGAATTGATTAATGTGTTGGGATTTATGATTAACTATCATTGATCATAAATAAAATAATTGGAAAGAATGATCTTTATACCTATTGCATATTGTTTCTTATTATAGTGCATTATTTTATAATGTAATACATTTGCAATCTATTATGTATAACTTATTCTATAGCATCAATATAATTTTCAATATAATTTAATAGGACATAACAACTATGATATAACAATATTGCGACATTTATTGCAATGTTCAAGAAATGAATTTTAAATAATATGATTAAATGTGACATGATATTAGACATGAGAATAAAAAAAATCACACGTTTATGACTCACAATCAGTGGATTTATACGGATATAAAAGAAAACTTAACAAAAGTGAAACTCGGAATTATTTTTAGCCAGAATATTCAATGTTGGGCAGTTCGATAAGAGAATAATAAAGAGATATGTAATGATATATACAACGATTAAGTACGATAAATCTCGTTGATGATTATATCGAACAGCAATATAAATATAAATTATTATCTTCATAAATTATCTTAATATCTCTAGTCAATTAATCAAAGGATCATTAAAAATAATCTAATCGACCAAAGCTAGCTAAAATTTTGTTTATTTATTACAGTAATTTACAAAATTTTGTTTATTTATTACAGTAATAAATAAACAAAATTTTAGCTAGTTTTGGTCGATTACATTATTTCCAATGATCCTTTGATTAATTGACTAGGGATATTAAGATAATTTATGAAGATAATAATTTATATTTATATTGCTGTTCGATATAATCATCAACGAGATTTATCGTACTTAATCGTTGTATATATAATTACATATCTCTTTATTATTCCCTTATCGAACTGCCCAACATTGAATATTCTGGCTAAAAATAATTCCAAGTTTCACTTTTGTTAAGTTTTCTTTTATATCCGTATGAATCCACTGATTATGAGTCATAAACGTGTGATTTTTTTATTCTCATGTCTAATATCATGTCACATTTAATCATATTATTTAAAATTCATTTCTTGAACATTGTAATAAATGTCGCAATATTGTTATATCATAGTTGTTATGCCCTATTAAATTATATTGAAAATTATATTGATGCTATAGAATAAGTTATAATAGATATAATAGATTGCAAATGTATTACATTATAGAATAATGCAGTATAATAAGAAACAATATGCAATAGGTATAAAGATCATTCTTTTCAATTATTTTATTTATAATCAATGATAGTTAATCATAAATCCCAACACATTGATCAATTTAGAAATCTCCGAATTTTGGCTAGTTTTGATCTATTATTATCTATTATTTATGATTACAATAACTATAAACGATAATTATTTATTATTAAAAGAAGTTGTAAATATATAACTGATGCAATAAATTAAAATAATCTGTAATTTTTAAACAAATACAATTATATAAATATATGAATGTGAAATGAATTAATATGCTATATTGATTACGATTCAAACATTTTATCTAGCTTTTTTATAACATATATACATATATTGCTTTTTTATACATTTATTACTCAATGTGCATTTATTTTGAAATTAATAAATGTTCAAATAAAATAATTTTTTTAGTGATTTTGATTTGTTCTAATAATATAAATTAATCCTTTAATAATATAAATTAATAAATTAATAATATAAAAATAAATTATAAATATATATATATATTTTTTTTCTTATTTATTTATAATTTTTGAATTATTAGATTACATTATATAAATTATAGATTTTAATTATTAATTTATTAATTATGTATTAATAATGTATTAATGTATTAATTATTAGAATTTGTTTCGTTCTTTAATCATATTATGAAAATAACTGTAAGCACATTACAGATTAAACAATTATTTCTTACGATAGAAATAGTATTCTAGAATTATTAATAGAGATATAAATATAGAATTATTAACATTAGTGATATTTATGAAGATATTGTTTTATAAAATAATGATATATGTAATAGTTCATATCATAGTTTGACATTTCCATTACAATTTCCTATCTTAAATGAGCAAACCTTATATAAGTTTATCTTCAGTCACGTCACGCAAGAGTAAATATAAAACATAAAACAATTATATAGTAGCTGTTCCAAAATTGGCCCAAATGCTTTTTTTAATTATATAAATTATTTAATTTTAAGTTAAATTTCCCTTGAGAAAAAAAATGAGGAAGTCCATCAATTGCAACTCTCTAATTTTTAATATTACATATTTAAAAGTTCATAATTAAATTTTAAATAAAAATTCTCTATTCAGATAAATTTAATACGAAATTAATTGATGGATATTGTTTTGCTTATATTATGACAAAATATTTATTTTCACAGTCGCAATTTAATTAAGTATATATAATAACATTTTTGTCGAGGGAATATAAATTAAGGGATGATTAAAACATATGTCCATCAGTTTTTGGATTACAAATTATATATAGACTACATGTTTTTATAATTTTTTTCAAAGAGAGCGTTTTATTTAGTAGCTATAAAATAATCTAATTTATTACAATATTTAATGTAATCAAAAAATAACATGTTAATTGATGTATTGATTTTTTTATATTCAAGCATTTTTATTTTGTATTAAGCAACAAAATATTTTTATTGAAATAGATTGGAGATATTTATTTTTGATTTTATTAAATAAATATCGTTCGCATTGGAATGTTGATATATATATATATATATATATATATATAAAGTAAATTATTTGTCAAATCACAAGAAATAAAATTTTTCTGTCGTAAAAAGCTTCGATTTCACGAATAATGCTATCACACTGCAGAAAAAGCACCGAGAATTATTTCGCGTAATGATAATCTTGCTAATCGATTGTATTTGTACCTTGCGTTTTTTACCTACTAAAAAAAGAAGAAAAATGGAAAAATGGGTAGCAGAGTCACGCATTATCGAAGAATGAATAATGGCGGCGAGACGTGAGACCAACAAATGTAGCAACGTAATTGCTTAAGCTACATATAATACACTCGGGGCTTCATTAAGCTGCTTTTCATGTAACAAAGCGTCGCGTGTCACTGCTTACGATGCTTACTTATAATTAAGCAAATATTACAGACGATAATTGCGACATGTATTGATCTTTGAGTTGATTATGTTGCCTTCATATGGGCAAATAATTCCGTATCGATTAGAATTACAGCTGATTTTGAATTGTTGATTGCAAATTTAGAGGCCAATTCGATAACAAAATTCAATAGAATATCCGAGAAAACTTTCAGTTAAAAATTCAAATATTATATTTACCTTGAAGTTCAATGAATCGCATTTTCCATATAAATTAAAGGAGTAATTAATTAAAAATTGTGGGACCAAAAAACTTCATTTTCGGAGATTACACTACAAGTATTTAAATATTAAAAATAGTCGAAGTCACGCGATTAATTATTGCGGGATTATAATTAACGCGGATTAAAAATAATCGCATGCAAATAGTGCGATGCACTCTCAGACAGGGGTATAATGTCAAGGGTTTCGATTGTAATGTTATTTATACCAACTGTCTACTCCTCCACTTTGCGTCGTCGATGATGACACGTCACACCGTCGCGCAGAAAATGCGGAAGCTCTACTTTAATTCGGGAAACGCGACAGACTGCACGATGCTACAATACACCCCTCCATTCAGGATCGACTCAGCTAAATTATGAATGGCGGTCGATACCTGGGGAGAGAAAGGCGTCGTGCGGGTCGTTCGCGGGATGCTTCCACAAGGGAAAAGTTACGTGGCTTTTGCGGAAAAATAAAAAGGAAGAAAAATACACGGTGGCGTATATTATCGACACGATCCAGAAACACTTACTCGATACCCTTGTTCCACGTTATCCGACCGATCTACCCTTCGGAATGCAATTCTCCTACGTTACCCTTCTCCCTGTGGCCAAGCTGGGCTGACACACTGACCTCAAACCTAAAGATGAATCGTGCGCGTGGCGCGGACTTGATTCGGATATTTTTATCATTCCTCGCATAGCATTTGTGGATTTTTAAATTTAAAAATAAGTCTAAAAGTCATGCTTTCTTTTTAACAATTAGAAAATTGTTTTTATTATTTGAGTATCTTTTGATTTAAATATCAAAATCTTTAATATTATTTAATAATTATGTATAAGATTTATATCGTAAGGGCAAATGTTAATCTAATAAGATTGTTAATAAAAGATTAATTTTTAAACAGCTGTAACCAATAATTAATATAACAAAATAACTTTATAATTAATATTTTTAATCATAAATGCATTTGCAATTTATTGTCTTTCCAATTTTTTATCAATATATTTTTAAATTATTTAATTAATTTACTATAATAATAATAATAACATAAGTGTTTTATTTCTGATCATATTTTTCACACGTTCAAATTACACACATTTAATATATTATTTAAAATTTATTTTTACAAAAAATATAGTTTTTTTCTGATTGATTGAATATAATAAATTTATAAGAAATGCGCATAAGATTGATAGCAGCCGTCTAAGTTAATAATTTTTTTTTAATTTACAGTGACTCATCGATAATATATCAAGATCCGTGAAGACACAGTTTCATATCGAAAACTCTTTCGCCTGAGGACTTGAAATATTTATCTCTAATAATAGAAAAGTAACATAACGAAAAGAAGATACGTAACAAGGAGTCAAGGGTGGATCAGCGCGAGCTTCGAGGAGCGTCCAACATTTGGCAGCAGGAAGATCGCGAAGAGGGTGAAGGGTAAAAGCATCTAAGGGCGGGTGGGGGGATGCAGCTCGAAAGGGTGGCGGCATGGAGGAGCCCTCGTTGGAGGCTCTCATGCAGGCGAGCCTTATCTTCGTGGTCGCCGTCGCCATCATCCTCTCGAATCTGCTCATTATCGCCACCTACCTTAACTTCCGCGGTAAGTCCACAAGAGTGTCTTGCATTCGCAGCTTATTTTATATTTTATTATTTTATTATTTTATTATTTTATTTATTTTACTTTTTTTATTTATTTTATTATTTTATTATTATCATACTTCTATTACGTTGGCTTCAATTGTAAGCAAGTTAACGTTCACTCAAGTGCATCTTCTTGTTTTCCCGTTTAAATAGTAAAATTTTATTATTAATAAAACAAATCATGTAAATACACTGATTAATAATATTTATTTGCGAATATAATCAATTTTGCTGCTGCTCCATCTTCGAATCTTATACTCTCTTGCACAGTTTTTTAATTATTATAATTTATTCATTATTAATATTCTGCTAATAATGAATTTTTAGATACGTGTGTATATATTTTTAAGTCTTCTAAATCTTAGAATTTCATATATTATTTTAATACAAATTTTAAATGTTTAGATCGCTAAATCTTTAAGCCAAATTTTAAATGCTAGGATATGAAAATATATTAATTATGTTGATCGATTATTGATAATGTTAATAATATGATTGATGCCAATAAACGTAAAAATACATATAATATATACATAATTATTATATTATTGTTAGAATTATTGCTCGAATTAATATTGCAAGAATTATTAATGATGAAATATAATACATATATTACACATTAAGAATGCTTTATTTGCAGGTCCCTCCGAGGTGATAAACTACTACTTGCTATCACTCGCCTCGGCAGATCTTTTATGTGGTCTGTTAGTGGTTCCGCTCTCAGTATATCCGGCGCTGGTACGAAGATGGGTTTACGGAGATATCGTTTGCCGACTCGTCGGTTATTTGGAAGTCACACTTTGGGCGGTATCGGTGTACACTTTTATGTGGATCTCCGTAGATCGCTATCTGGCTATCAGGTATTTTGCAATAATTTTATAAAAGATGGATGGCCCATAAATATATAATAACGCACAGATGTAATATTACTATAATGAATTAATTACAAGTCAAGAGCATATCTTCTGCTATTATCTTATTATCTGGCTATCAGGTATTTTGCAATTATTTTATAAAAGATGGATGTCCCATAAATATATAATAACGCACAGATGTAATATTACTATAATGAATTAATTACAAGTCAAGAGCATATCTTTTGCCATTATCTCATAGATCCTCTCAGATTATATTCCTTAACATCTTCGAACTGCAATAATTTTTTTCTGCAGGCTCGAGAGAATCCACACGATTATGATAAAATTTTTAATTATAATAATAATATTTCTTGCGACTTTTGCAGAAAACCGTTGAGATACGAGACCGTACAGACAAAAACCCGATGTCAATGCTGGATGGTCTTCACGTGGATCAGCGTGGCGATGATGTGTTGCCCGCCTTTGCTCGGCTTCAACAAGCCGATCTTCGATCGCGAGGCCTTCATCTGCATGCTCGATTGGGGCAACATGGCCGCGTACACCATCACGCTGTCGATCCTCGTGTTGGGACCGTCGGTCATCACCATCGTCTACACGTACTTCTATATTTTCTCCACGATGAGGCGATTGAAGTCCGGCGTGTTGATCCACGACAAAGAGTACGCTACTGCGCTATCGGAAAATCTAAGCAACCCGAGCCACATTATGTCCTTCGTCCTAGTGATGGCTTTCTGCATGTCATGGGCGCCGTTCGCCGGACTGAGGATATACGCGGTTGTTAACGGGCCGCCTCAGGTAATTAATATCCTCTTACGAGTCATTTAATTGACATTAAAAAGGCATGTGTTGCTATTAAAATTATTACGAGGGATATTTTTGCTTTAATTTGATATTCCTCTACAAATAATTTCAATAAAATAATCCTGAATTTCTACAATATTAATACTTTTAGTACGGTAAGCAATTTAAATTAAATGAAAAAGATAGTCTTTTATAGCGATGAACGCATATTTAATTAACTGAAATCTAAAAACGCAATCATGCACGCCAGAAAAAAATTGTATGTAACATTAAGCAAAAACAAAGATGTTAGTAATCGTTACTGATGTTAAAAAAATTAAATTTGAAAATTACAAAATAAAATAAAGACGCAAACGTTTCGAGAACGTTATTTTATTTTGTAATTTTCAAATTTAATTTTTTTAACATCAGTAACGATTATTAACGTCTTTGTTTTTGCTTAATGTTATATACAATTTTTTCTTGCCTATAATTGTTTTCTTATTTGGTTGGTCCTTAAAATAAGCCTGTGTTTATATTGTTATTTGATTATTATCTTTCGACCACCTTTACTTGTTAGTCTTTTTTATTTTTTAAGAACTATCTTATAACTTGAATTAATCTTCTGATAATTATTTAAAATTAACTGATTTACAGAATTAATATTTAGTAAGAATTTTTAAAAGAATTTCAATGCAAGAAATAATAAAGTTCGCAAATCACTTTTTTCTGTCTAGATGTCGTATTTTCGTTTTACAGCTATAGAAATGACTTTCCTCATCAAAAATACACTCACATTAGAACAACTATAATGGCACTTGCTTGACATTGACATGATCTAAAACTTTAAACTTCGTGAAAAGAGGCATTGGAAATGAGACAATTAAAAATGCAGGTCGACAAGTTTGTAAAGCGGAGTAAGTTAATAAAGAATACGCTCGCTGGTTCATAAGCATGAAAAGTTCACATACAAGGACATATTCTATATATCCACGATTGTTATAAGGAGTTAGACAATATAAGTCAATATATTCCCTAGTACTTATATATGAAATGTCATTTGGTAATAATTATTTAAAGCATAAAAAGTTTTATTTCCTTCGCTCTCGTTTAAATTTGTAAGTAATAGTTTCTCGATTTTCACATTACTGCGAAGAATTCTCCTTTTTATGATATAATAATATAATAATTAATAAGAACTTAAAAATGGTATAACAATTAATAACAACTTAAAAATTATTTTATACTTATTTTATATTATTTTTATAATTATTTAATAATTTACATAATTAATATATTTAATTATATTAAAATGTAAAAGATAGTGAACAAAATCTTTAGGGATCACATAAGAAAAATGTGTGAATTCCGACCACAGTTGATGAACGAAGACTTTATGATTTTAATATCACTAATCTGATCCTGTTATTCACCGTAGGTACCGTTTTTACACTTTGCCGTGGTGTGGTTGGGGGTCACGAACAGCTTTTGGAAAGCGGTCGTCCTTGGTACACTGAGTCCCCAGTTCCGGTTAGCCGTACGAGTGCTCTGTCTCACTGTATGCTGCCGGCACAGGCGACTTCCGCCGGAGCTTCTCGGCCTCGACGACGATGACTAACGCCGCATTTACAACGTCTACGATCAGCAGAGCCTATGTTGCGTTCTGTTCTATCCGCGGCGCGTTCTTAGAGCGTCGCTTTTACTTCTATTCAAGGATCGTCCTCGCATCTTGGCACCACTCGCAAGATGTTCTCTTAAAACTTCGAGCTCCGGCATACGAATCGGTACCGATCGTAGCTTATGAATATCGATACTGACTTCTAACTTAGTTGAAATAATTTAAAGGAAATAAAGAGTGATAAATTATTAAAATAAATATTATGTAGAAGATAGAAAAAGATTCGGAATATACATGAAACCGGTATTATGTATGAAAAAAAGAGAACATTTTTGGAATCTTTAAGTAGATAAACGTACGTGAAAATTCTGTGTCTAAATTTTTATTTAAAATGTGAGAATTCGATATTTTTCCAAAGAAAAAAGTCTCTATTGTTGTATTATCTGCATTCTATTTGTACATTCATGTAGTTATATAAATTTATATACATATATTATTTATTCTTTTTGGAGAGAGAGACAGGAAACTTTTTAGAAATGCAAGATTTTAATTGAAAAATTTATAAAATTCTGAATCTAAATTAAAATTAATTTCAATAAAATTCAATCTAAATTACAAGGAATAATTTTAAAGAGAAACAAAGAGAAAACTTGGAAAATTCTATAATTTAAGTAAATAACTTGATACAATATGCTTATCACAATATTATATAAAAAATATTATTAAAAAAATTATTAAAAAATTATTAAAGTAGTTAAAGAGATTCTCTAATAAAGTTATTAATCAAGTCTATATTATACGCGTAATTTGATAATATAGACAGCTCAAGTATCGCTTAGATTGAATTGTAAAAATAATCAAAATTATACAATCAATATATTTAGCTTGTCTAATTTCCATAATAGAATCAATTTCATAACAGATCAATACATGATGCTGGCCCATTTATATAGGACGACCCGAAATAATGCGAGTGGTGCTTCGAGGTTTGCGAAACACAATACATTGCCGGCGGAATTCGGCGACTCCGCCGACGCGCGTCCATTTCTCTAAAATAATCTCGCTTCGCTCAAACACGCTAGAGTTTGTTAATTAGAGTCCTGTTGGGACGACTTTCTGCGCCGTACGAAAAAAAAAATAAAATAAAAAAAAATAAAATGAAGAACGACGAAAGTCGCTCCGTGGCATTTGAAATTAATTATCACCTAGTCTACGTCGACGTAAGATCACGCTCAATAAATGTCGTAGCGAATTATTATAAAACGAGAGTTACTGACTGTCGTACGAGCAGGCCGCAGATCTGATGAATAAAATTATTCATTAAACGACGCCGGAATATTATATTACGCGGAGAGAAAAATTTAGTCAATTAACGGAGATGCCTCTTTGAATGTGACGCGTCGTCGGCGACGAGTTTTGCGTCGTCGAAATGTCGTCGTGCCCGTCGATAAAGGGTGATTGAGTGCCGAGCGTGCGAACTTTACGCTTCTCTAATGCGCTTCCTAGCCGCCGGCTTTCCCGCTCTTTCTCTTTCTCGTCGAGAAGCTGCGGAAATATCTGCGAAATCAAAGCGCGTCTATGGAATGCCGATTAATTCGCTTATCCCTTTTCTTATCGAAACATTATGATATTATATAATAATTATATAATTATATAAACTATAGTATAATTATTAAAATTATATGCAGGGTGTTTCCAGACTTAACGAATCAGCTATTAGCAGATTCCTGAGATCATTTGAAGACGAAAATATTAATACCAAAATGTTGAGGAAGACTTCATAAAAATGTTTCAACTACTGACTACTGTCGCATCGAAGACACAATCGCGTTCACTGCAGAATCCTATTTTTTATTTCATATTGATCCCTCTATCGATATCGATATTATCCGTGCTGTACGCGGGCCCCTTGATGCGGTTGTCCAGCACAGGAGAACGTAACGCGCCGATTGGTTAGTCTTTAATCTTTTGTAGCGCCGAAACTGTATCTTCCTCAGTATTTTGGTATTAAGATTTTCGTTTCCAAATGATCTCAGGGCTCTACCATTAACGGCTGATCCGTTAAGTCTGGGACACCCCGTATATAGTTTGCACGAGTACTTAAAATTACAAATGTTAACAGCACGCCCGCAGTAAAAGAATTAAATCCGGCAATTTATGCAAATAGAAAGTTGATAAAAATTGCGCGCAAGATTCCCTGTAACTTTATGACTTCTATTATGAATGTGAATCTTAAATAAATCTTTCCGCTTCGTCGAGATTCATTTTTCGTAGAGAGATTTCGATCGCCTAATTATTCATGTAGCGGATCCCGCGACGAAAAAGAGAAAGCGCTTCTCTTCAGGATCAAGCTGGGCTCTCATTAGCTTTTCGAACACACTTACTGGGTTTATAAAACACCCTCACCGCAGAAATCAAAATATCGTTGTAATTCTAATTCTTATTTCAGATCACGTAAGTTTTACGGGCGTCGCCCGCTATAAGCTTTATTATTAATCTTATACAAAGTGCTAGTCGGCTAGTGGCAAACTTTTTGCATGAAAGCGTAAACTATTGCGTCCAATTTTCGCACGTCTACGTAAACCATGACGACTCTAGGCGCAATTTCGAATATAATATTTGAACAGCCTACGTATAATCTACAACTGAAAATTGTTGCTGAAATTGTGTGAAAGCAAAAACTTTATAGGAGATGCTAGATGAGAGGAGCATATATGTTAGAGCTGTTAAAAAATACGATTTTACAAAGTAATCTTATATGAGGAAAAGCGGACTTTTTCATTGCTTAAATTTATGCGCAAGCGATGCGAACGCAAGATGCAGATTTTTATTGATTTAATATTTTATTTCATTTTGAATCCTCTATTTTTAGATTTTTATTATTTTTATTGATTGCAGACTGCAAAAAATTAAGACTCAAAAATTATGAAAACGTATATAAAGATTTTTTTGGATTTGCAGAATTTGTTTGTGTATATTGATGATATGAAAAACGAAGTGCTTGTATAATAAAGAACCCGAATGTATCACAAATCAACATCAAAGAGTGGTTACTAAATAGAAAAAGATGTTTATATACTTATTTGATTTAATCTAATTTTTATAGAGACGAAACAAGTTTAAAAAACTATAAATATATATACTCAAAACAATATATATATATGTATATAAAAATGTGTCTAACATTTTTTTAAGTAAAATATTCATCTATGTTCCGCAAGAAATCAAAGATTTCAACACAAAAAGAATTTAGCGAACGTGAGCAGATTTGTGGCGCCTATTACGAATAGCATAAAATCCTAGAATTAGGCATAGAACTTCCACGTAATGTCGTTGAAATGAGAAGAGAGCAATGTAATATTCGTCAATGTTTCTTCGCTGTGCTCTTGGAATAGCTCGCGTGCATAAGTGGGCGCGCCTTGATGTTTTTGACGAACATTAATTCTGTAAATGGGAATTAATATGCGAGTCGGTGTCTAGAAAATCTTAGCTTCTATTTTTTACTCTAAAACTCTAACACATTTCATTCAAGCATAATACTTTTCTCTAAAAAGAATTGACAAAAGATAAGAACACTTAATCGTCGTCTAATTCGTGGCATTTAAAATATTGGAAAAAATATATAAACATGCTTTCCTATAAACGAAGAAGAGCAGTTCGAAAAAAACATCTACTCATTATTTTAAATATAAAATATGAAATATTCAATTTGAAAAGGTAGAAAAATATATGAAACGATTAATCTTACTGCTAGATATTTTTCCTAGAATTTGTGCAATATTCAATAAATTACAAAAGAATATTGAAATTTAAGTAATGAGGAATTTTAGAAAGAAGGATTTAAATATTTCTTGCATCTTAATCAACAAGCACAAGTTTTGACATTATAACAAATTCCTTTAGAGCATTTGATGCACATAAATCATAGATTTTTTGGCAATTTTGTCTGTTTAATGTAACGAGAAGATATAAAATGAGATTATTTAATATAATGAGAAGATGTAAAAGATATATTTCTCTCTACGTGGTATTATGGTGTCTTATTCGGTTATTTAATATAATGAAAAGACGTAAAAGATGCTCTCTCTTTACGTGGTACTTTATGATGTCTTAACTGTACAACGGAATCAAACAAAACTATCTTCTAGTTCCGAACATTAGCTATATAAGTCGGCTAAAAACCCGGTTAAAAAGTAACGCAAGTTCGACTGCAATTTAAGGATAATTTTAAGGGAAGTTCGGGAGGATCTCACAGATCTTATCAAATGTAACAAATTATCGCATGTTTTTTCGTATATTGTTAAATGAATTATTGTCACACATACATATGTGTATATAATTATTAATCACAGGTAACGAACAAATTCAGTTCCACAATGAAGACACAATATTGCACAGCGGCATTATTTATTGCCTTGAGAACGATACAAATAAAATAAAAATAATTAAAAGAAAGTGAAATTTGTGTTATTATCGCACATGTTTCCGGTCCCAAAAAAAAAATATTTCTGCGGGAAGATTACATGTCTTTGAACTGCGACAATTTTTAGCCGGGCTCAGCTATGACGCATTAACATTTTATTGCGAATATCTCTTTATACGTATAGAATCGCTCGTGATCCGGTTTTTTCGTCCAGATCCGAATAGCTTTACTTCTGTAATTTTACGTCGCCACTGCGTAGTGGTTCGAGATAATCGTTTAACATCGAAGAGGCCCTCTTTCCCCAGATAAAGTGCACATACTTAGCCCTCTTTCATTCTTTTATTCTCGTCTACCCATAATTAACTTTAGAATTGCAGCGAATTTTCACGACTATTAGATTGCAAAAATTCTCGCTTTTTAGATCAGTCTAAAACATATCTCAATGATGTCTCGAATACCGATTAAATTTTCTGCTCAGTGTTTCAAGGGGATGAAGATATTGCTAAGATATTATACAAGATTCTCATCGGTAATTTATATCAAGTAAAAGTATGTGGTTTTTCTTCGTAAAAGATAGCGATGTCAGAGCTTTAACATTGAACCCAGTCATAAGATTTTTGTAAATAAATATTTATTAGGCGAGATATACGCACGCGATTATTTTCAACAGGATATATCGCGAATTATACATACATTTTTTTACAATAAAGCACAGAGATGTACTTTATAAAGATATTTTGTACAACGATTTCTATTTTATGCAAGGCCAATGATTTTAGTATATCTACAATTTAAATAATTTCACAATTCTCGATATAATTAAATTCTAATTATCATACCTTATTCTTCTTTGACTGTTTTTAATTATTATTATTACTTATTAATTATTTTAATAATTATTAATTAATTATTATTGCTGTGCGCGATAAAAAAATAAATCTCGCGCCACTCCGCACTCGCGAATTTGCCAAAGTCGAGCAGTATTAAATTTCTCAGCAATTCTACGACATTCTAAACACGTGAAAGTCGCTCTCAAGAAAAAAGTGATTGATCATGCATATGAAGAAGCAAAAGATCGTAAGATCGAAAGAAAAGGAATCCAATCGTTCAAGTGTACTTGATTATTG